TATGAATGAAAAAAATGCATTCATCAAATATTAGAGAAATCCCAAATCAAATTTAACACATTAGAAATGTACAACGATAACAATACATGCGCACAGCATAAACTTTAGTTGAATACTATAATCTATGTGAATCAATCACTTAATAAATGCATAATAAAATATTAGATTCCTAATCAGATATATTTTACATTTACAGTGGTAATAATGACACGTATAAAGCATAAACTATAGTTGGTTAAGTTAACGTTACTATAATTCATACCTACCGGAATCGAAAAAGCGTTGTCATACCAGTAACTTTATTCTCGGTTTTTACAGTTGGTCCGAAGGTTCTTGAAAGCACCAGTTCAGTATGTCAGTTTAATGTTTATGAGCGTGCCGTGCGCTGTTGTGAAGTCCTTCTCTTCTTTGGATATTTCGCATCAAAGACCATCATCGCCATCTACTGGTTCTTTTGTGGAACCGCGTTGAGAAGCAACGCATTAGTCGTCATAGCAACCTAAACCTCTCATTTGAAGAGTGAGCAGCATCTGGTGACCACGGAGGCGTATGCTATTCTCTTAGAATACTTGTCGTTATTCACTTATTATATGTTATATTATTTATACACTTATTAGAAGGTAAATATCTAACAATATTTATATTTTAACCCAAAACGGAAATGGTAGGCTTCACATTTGCACACATATAATTCAGTGCATGTTATGATTCAATTTCTTGAAGCATTTCGATCAATCTTTCAGCTAGGATGTAGAAAAATCATTCAAAAACAGTTACTCACCCAAGCTGCCAAATCAATGATTTTTCTTGAAATTGACCAGGGCACTCTAGAGTTGAAAAAAACAAAACAATAACGAACTTCCACCTATAACTGCTCAGGTAAGACCATGTTTTCACAGTTTGTTGTTATTGTTTTGAATGCTGAAAACGGCCATTTTTGTGAAGGTATAACGTTAAATTTTTTTTTAAAGATGTGTGAAAAGTAGCTAATGGCTTTTAATTAGCAATACAGTAATAAGCAAAGGTCGCTGTCAATATATAACACAAATTCTCTGGTAAAATACCATGTAAAGAATTATCTGGTTACTGCACAATTATACAGCTCTGAACTGTATAATAACGGTTTTCATTTTTGGATTTGTCCTGCATGTTCAATGCTTTAGAGCTGGAGAAACATTCAATAAATTGGCTACATCATTTTATACAAAAGCAATATTGTATTATTTATTTTTTAAGTCTTTATTTGTTTGTTTATCTATCTATAACATATCTGTTCTATTGTCTGCTTAGGTGTCAGCTCAAAAAACTTGGCACATGGAAACTCCCCATGGAGATTCAACTTTTCAGACATTCATGGCACTCAAAACAGCCACACAACCTCAGCTTCCAGCGCCATGGCTTATGTTTGACCCGCTCCAAATGATACCCAACAAGTAAGTTCAATCCCATCATATAGAAATGCACATGCAAGAGCTGGCCTGCAAACAAAAATATACATTTCTCCATTTTCAGATCTCGCAATATTGTCAAGAGGACCCTCAAAGACAAGCATATTTCTAAATCAAAACTTGCCCATATGTTTGTGCAAATTGTTGAGTGGATAAGAACAGTGTCCATGGATGTGGTCCTTCCGGCTCTAGTTCTCTGTCTGCGAGAAGAGGAGAGCATGATTTTGGAAGCTAAAACGAGAGCTGAAGAGTGGGAGAAACTGAACATTAATGTGCCCTATAGTAACTGCGCTCACTGTGTCGGCCCTATCGCTTCCACTGACAGGACGAGCTATGGTGCTCACATCTCAGGTGTTGAGAGTGAAGAGGCGGGCATCATTGGCATGACTGTTTTTGCACAAGTGATGGATTTCTTACACTGCAAATATCTATTAAACATGTCTGAAAGGCGCTTTCTGGAAACTCTTGAGCCATCAGACAGCTTAAAATCTTTAGACTGCTGCCTCAAGCAAGAGTTAATCCATATGTTTAATAAAGATCTCATCAACTGCGTTTACCAGGAGCTCTTGACTAATGACGTGGGCAAGACATTCCCTGTCGATTACTTGTGCTTGGAGCTTTTGCGTCAAATGTTCACTGAAATACCTGCGCGCTGGGAATTCTACATGGACGTGCTTAAATACTTCTGTCGGCGGGCAGCAGAGAACCACCTGAAGTTGTTCTTGAAATTGCCACGCACACCACATGAAGATCGCGTGGAGGAGAACTGGCACTCTGTTGGCCCCAGGACCATGACAAAAGCGGAGAGAAGAACTCTGGACATCCTCAGCAAAACAGTGACTGATATGATAATGAATATCGTGGATCAAGCCACTGAAAATCCTCTGCGGGCTGCTGAGATAGTCAGGCAAGGTATACAGTACATGCTGTTTTCATTCACTTGATGTGTATGTACAGTATTCACCTCTAGTGACTTATCTGCGAGGTCACTATGGTGCCTGTAGAGACACTAATACCATAAATCAATCGGAATATAATGAAATACTAAAAATGTTAGGTAACACAAAAAACAATGCAAGTGCATTTAATTAAATTAAATGTTTTATTTTATTTTACTTTATATTTTGATACAATAAAAATATTTATTATATTTTATTTTTATATACAACAACATTATTCTTATTTTAATTTATTTTAATACAACAACAACAGCAATATTTGTATTTTATTTATTTTATAGACTCAAGCAATATTTTTAATCTTATAATACAACAGTAATATTTTATTTTACTTTATTTTTTATACAATAACAATTTTTATATATTTTATAATATATATTAATAATATCAATATTATACATTTACAACAATCAATATTTTTTGTATTTTATTTTATGATAGAACAGCAATGTTTTTTATCTCATTTAATGTTTGTGATTGTACAAGCAAAAAAAAAATTTTTTTTTGATGCAACTGCAATATTTTTAGTTTACTTTATTTTTTGATACAATAACAATATTCTGTTTATTTTATGTATTTTAAAAATAATTGTATTAATTTAACATCTATCTTTTTATGCCACTGTCTGCTTTGTTCCTGGAAAATCCCCATGATTTCAGTTTTCATAATTCATGTAAAACAGCCACACTACTACAGCTTGCAGTGCCATTTTGTACACATTCTAAAGCAGATTGCGAATTTAAAAAAAAATTGTTTGCTAATACCTGTTGTTCTTTTAGGGAAGAAATCAGGTGCACAATCTACTGAAGAGTCAGAATTTTGGGGAAGTAAAACTCCAAACCCTGACATAGTGCCTGAGAATGAGGTGCTTGGACCAAGTTCTGGAATAAAAGTGGAGGACCTTCATTCAGAGGAGGAACTGGAGCTTGAGGATGTCGTTTCTAAATGCTTTGAGGAGCTGTATGAGCTGAAAAGATTGAAAAGTGAAACTCCAAAGCCTTACATAATCCCTGAGAATGAGCTGTTCACACCAAGACCTGGAATAAAGAAAAATACTTTCCATTCAGAACAGAAGATGGAGCTTGAGGATATACTTGATGAAGCTCCATTTGAAAGAAGCAGCCAGTCAGGAACAGAAGAAGAAGAAATAACTGAAGCCTCTCAAGGTTTAACTTATTTGCCATATCATCTTGTAGAAAGTGTTGTTAATGGGCTGCTTGCAAAATTTGAGGTTGCTGACATTTTTGCTATTTATCTTTCTGATGCTCTTGTCTCCAATCTGGTAAAGGGACTAGCAGACCTGGCAGGAATTAATGTTGCTACCTGCAGTCTTAGAAATAAGTGCATTCCTGATGAGAATCATATTGTTTTACAAATTGTAAATGAAGCTCATGGTATCCTGGCACATAAGAACTACTTGAAGTCAGTATGGCATGAAAATGAAATAGCTGTAAGCTATCTGACAGCTGTCCTATCTGCAGTTATCCTCGACTACACACTGGTGCGTCCTAAGGCACGAAATAATGGCTTGACCAGCGAAAGCTTAACCTTATGGAGATGGAAGGCTGGGTCCTACACACCTAGAATTAGTAATCAGTTTTCTGTTGAGAAAGCGCTGATGCAGGATGACACCGATTCATCTCTTTGCGACGCCGCTCAAGCTAGCGCCAATGAAATGAGCTTCAAGGATTGTGACCAAGAAGAAATAGATGAAGGCCCGAGACCAGACTGTGATCAATCTGCCGGTACAGCTTTTAGAGAGGTCACTTTGAAAGTAAAGAAAGGTATTCAAGCCTCCCTTTCCAAACTCTTCTTTTTCAAAAGCAAGGCTAGTCAGCGAGTTGGCCCATGTCCTTGAGGAAGAAAAAAATAACATAGAAAAACAGAATTTTTTTACCTGAGAAACTTCAATAAAAATGTTTTTTCATTTATTGGAAAAAAAGAAGAAAAAAAACATTAATGTGGACAATGCTTTTTAAAAAAATTTTTAATCACATACAATCACAATGCTAAATATTTATACACAGCTGTTTTTATACCTACATCTTTGCAGCTTATTAAATACGTACTAAATTAAATATTTATAAAGATGTTTCATTTATTTTATTTTTACTATCTTTGATTTATAAATGTAAACACTTTTTTGATCATTGTACGTATATTTAATAATAACTAAATATATGGGTCATTCTGTGTCAAAATCAACCAAATTTCAAAAACGTCCCAGCTCAAATTTTTGATATTGTCAATATTTTTTTCTGAAGAAAGATAAACATGTATAGTGATGATGAAAGCCAAAATATTGCATGTCACGGATGTATATTTACGGAGTAATCCACCATTTTGTAGAAAGAGTTCAAAATGACAATTTTCACCTGAGATTTGTAGCCAAATTGCAGAAAAGGACAAATGAGTTCAGAAAGATGGCAGCATTATTATATTATTTTTACACAGAGATTGGTAGGTCTATTAGTAAAAATCTGTTAACTTGTCATATCTTGCATTATATGCCAATGGTGACCATTCCATTTGCAACTCTTTTATAGCTACTTTAATATTTCAGTTTTTCAATGAGAAACTATGCAGGAACTTATTCATTGCGAGTTTATTAGGTTGTCTATACCAGAATGCAGCCAGAACTGAATCTGATGATATTTTTTTCCAATAAAAATATTTTTTTTCTTTGGAATAGTATTGATGAATCATTGCAGAATAAGGCCAGGAACTTGCATTAAGAACGTATAT